AGACCCCCACCGTTAAGCCCTTTTCCCCTGACCCCCTTGTATTCTTACTTAGAGCACTTCAGTCTGCCCCTCTTCTGACCCAGTGCTGCTAACTGAGGATGTGAATTGTTCTTTGACATAAAGCACCACACCCCCACCTTTCCTCCCTGTTCTATCTCTCCTGTACAGCCTATAAGCCCTTGATGTTCACTGCCCAGTCATGCGTTGGATCCCACCACATTTTGGTGAGCCCCACTATGTCTGGGTTTGTGTTAGCTACCAGGAGGGCAAATTCCTCCTGCTTGTTCCCCATGCTATGAGCATTAGTGTATAGGCATTCAAGGCCTCCTGAAGGTATATGCACCACCCCTCTAATCCCAGGACTATCCAGGTCTCTTACCTGGGTATTTCTTCTGCTCATTGTCAGTTTTGGCTGGGCTATTCTTGTGGGCGACACTTGGTTTGGTGTTCCAAGGCTCCCTCCGACCTCATCCTCCCCTTCCGCCAACGAGCCTAGTTTAAAGCCTGCTGGAGGAGATCAGCCAACCTGAAAGAGAACACACACTTACTTTTGGGGAAGAGGTGACGCCCATCCCACCCAAGCATCTCTCGTCTTGAAGTATGGGTCATGATCCAAGAAGCCAAAGCCTGCCTCAAGACACCATTCCGGAAGGTGCAAGTTGACCTCTCTGATGCAGGTCTCATGGCATTGTCCACGTCTGCTCACTGGAAGGACAGATGAGAAGACCACCTGTGCCCCTGTCTCCTTCAGCTTGCCCCCCAGTAATGTCTTTCTGTTCCTTCCTTGGAAAAAACTGTTAAGAAGAGCTTGAATTAATGAGAAAGACTTTTGTTTTCTTGATGGGCTGATAAAACTTTGTGTTATCGGCTCCCTGCTGGCTTGCTTGCAGTTTGCTGCAGACAGTATGAAGAAGCAGGGAGAGAGAGATTGAACCTGCAAGATTGAATCAATTAAGTCTTGGGCTTTTTGAATGTCTGTCCCTAGCCTGGATGTTCCTTGGTGAGTCAGATAAAATGGCTGCCAGAACATGCACCCCTTCCCACCCAAAGCACTGTGCTTTTTAAGACATTTTAGCTCTAAGTGAAGAGTTAGGTGTAGAGTTTGCCAAGTAGTAGAAGACTTTACAAAGTGGAGGGGAGTCCTGTTGTTAACTTTGTTTTGGTTAGAATAAAGAAAATCAAGACCTTCAGGCAAGCTAAATTGTATGAAATTTAGTTAAAATTTTCAAGCTGTAACTGGGCTCCCTGAAGGTCTTTTGTGGCCCATAAAGTCCATTTGTTGTTCAAACCATATAACAGCATTATGGTTGCTCTGTTTCTGTGTTCTAGCCAAAATATAGTGCCACTGTGGCTGAACCCTATGGTTATAGGACTGGAAAAAGTGGTGTAGAATGATGCAGAAAAAATAGATATGGGTCTCTGACACCTCCCTTCATTAACATGCCTACAAAATGGGGGCATAGTGACAAGTGAAAAATTAAAAACTACTTAGCTTAAACCTATTTACATCATTTTTTATTTTAAAGAAAAAGGAAGTGAAGGTTCCAAACATTTAAATTAATCTGTTCATATGCTAACTACTAAGATAGCAAATCACATTGACACTGTCACAAACACTTCAGTAGCAAATCACTCTAATGGTAAAATATTTCAACTGTGAAGCTCTTAGATATTAAAGTTCTCTGTCAGCAAAACTCTTCAATAATTGAACTGCTGTGATATGAGACACCTCTACAGCAAAGATTATCAGCCTCTGTAGTGCTCTATCAAGTATAATATATAAAAATGTCAGGGCTGGAGCCTTAGTTGGGTCCTGATTCACGTTAACTGAAATTGAGATGAGGGCTCCTGTTGCTGTCTATGGGCCTTCTATCAGGCCCTGGTATAAAGCTGTATAGCTTTACTGATTTTTTTAATGTTGACTTACACTAGTTAAGGATTGGTCCATTCATTTTCATAAACTTTACAGTGTGGATTTGTAATAACATACAACATGCTTTGCAGGGTAAGAAATTCCTTATCCAGAAAACCACTTCTTGTTTCCTCCTCATATTATATCTGAAACAGGGCCAGTTTCCAGAGAAGAATTCACTCCTGGGCAAAGGACCAGCCTTCTGCTTCATTTAAGGGGCACTTAAATGATGAATGCGCTTCAGCTAACCTACAATTAACAATCAGTGCTGTACCTTCCCCAAAGAGCTAACAGCCCATGAGTAGAAAAGAGGGTATAAATCCAAGAAGGTAGGAAGAAGCAGTAGCAAGGATGAAATCAGTAAGTCTGAGAGTAATTGAGCTGTAATTACCATATGCTATTTAAGCACTCTTCATGTTGAAATGATAAACACTGGAATATGCTCTAATTACTGGTATTATTTTAGGGGCACTGACAGACATTCAGGTCTATTTGTCACCCTTTTAATCATGCACACTCAGCTCACCAAGTTTCTCATTGGCCTCCTTCAGGCGGGGAGCCTACAGGAAAAGGGGACAACAGATTCCTTGGGACAAATAGTAAAAACTAGGGATGGGAGTCCTGGCCAAAGGTTCAAAAGAAGAGTCCCAAGGGGAGACACCAAGCAGAACACACAGGACAACACCCACTGGCCCTCAAATGAATCCAAGGAGCCAATGGACACTGACCAATGATACCCTGCTTGGAGACGGGAATGAAGAAAGGCAAGGAAAGTGGCCCTGTAGTCCCCAGGACCTTTCTGGCCAGAGCCTCCTTCCTGGTCATGTACATGGCCAGTTTGGCCAGGTCCAGGGTGGGGCTGACCAGAAGGTCCTGGGCCTTGGTGTGGCCATGGATGTGCAGTGTGTAAATAAAAAGGTGAGGGGAATAGTGCAGCTGGAACCTCAGCACTGACAGATGTTTAGGCCCCCCACCCTAACTTATGGTACTTTACAAAAAGATTTACTTAAAGTGCCTTGACTTAGAGTGCCTCCCCCCACCAACCCAACAGACATTCACATGTTGGGTGAGGGGGTGGAAAATCAAGCCTGCCTAGCAAGCCAAGGAGCCATCCCTCTCCCCAGCTGAGGAGCTGGCCCTCTGGCCCGCCTCGTCCCCTGGGGCTGTCAGCTGGGAGGGAGGGGCAAGCCAGCAGCAGCAAGCTGCTCCTTTCACAAACTGCCAGTTTGCCCAGCCTGAGCTGGAGAAGGGAGTGGATCAGAGCTCCCTCACCTTGCAGGACTGGCCTGGCTCCCCCCAGTACCAGGCCACTCCCCACCCTCCCCTTCAGCTCAGGCTGGGCAAGCTGGCAGCTTGTGAAAGGAGCAGCTTGTTGCTGCTGGCTTGCCCTTCCCCGCTCTCTCCCTAATGACAGCCGTGATTGCATGAAAAATGAACCCTAGAGAACACAAGCTCCCTAAGGCACTCTAAAGCAGGGCACCTTCCTCTGATGCCTCATTTGAGGAGGGTTCATTTTTCACATGATCATCCACTTTACTGTGTCACGGCATGGCTGTAGAGCACTTTCAGGGGCCCAGTCATGCAAAAAATGTAATTTTTGCCTGTGCCCTAAATGACAGCTGTCAATCAGAAGAATTTCTGAGTACTTACAGATTGCTTTTGTAGAGATCATCTGTCCATTACCAAAATTCAGCTTCCTCTGATACGAAATATGGTGGCTATTCTAAATGCTTGCCAATCAGGTTTTGGAAGGAGACAATGTAACACATAATTTGGTCCTTTGATATTGCAGGGAGATTTTAAGTAGGTGGAAACTGATACTGGAAAATTCCATCTTTCGAAAGAGAGAGAAAAACAAACGTTTCACCTGTTGTTGCCCCTAAAGAATCCCCTAGTATCTTCCATACAGTCAGTTTGACACGTATTTTTACTTCTCTTTAAATGTATTTTAGATGAATGAAAAGATCTTTTATTAAATTTATCTTTTTTCTTTAAACTTAAGATGTTGTGTTGTAGTATAAAGCAAATTCCCTCCCATTTTACTATGTGAGGTTCCAAAAAGTTGTGTAGGAATAATATTCTAGTTAGCAAGCAAATCTAGTTGATATATTTTAAAAACTGATTTTGCACATAGACTAGCATAGTTTTTATTTTGTTCTCTGGGCACTGGGGTAAACTTTTCCTACCATGTTTCAAGGCATATATGGGAATTTGGCACAATGTTCCCTAAAATGCATTTGAAAGATTGCTTAATGCTTTTTGGCAGGAGCTTTTCCTTTTCCTGTTTTTTCAAGCCGTTTAAACTGTATTTGTATTTATTATTTGCGTCTTCTACATTCTTCATTTGCATATTAATTGTAGGTTAGTATGAAGTCTATACATCATTTACATCTACCTTAGATGAGGCCAAAGCTTGGTCTTTTACCTAGGGATGAATTTCACCCACTGGACGGACAGAAACCCAAACAAGCCTCCCTCCCAATTCTATGGATTCAAGATTTTGTGATATCAAAAGAAAGAATTTATTTATCAGGGAGTGTTTGTGGTTACTGAGATGGCTTGGCTCCACTTCTTTGTCTCGCATTCAACACCATTCATCTGCGTCACTAAGGCAGCATTATGCTGTCTAGGCTTCTCCCCAACATGTAGCAAATTCTCCAGTGAATGACTGATAAATTCCCAGGCAGCTTTGCAAAGCTGAAACCTGCCACGTTACATGGGCAGTTTGAAGCCAATATGTTTACTATGATTAGAAGAATAATGGCCAGTAAACATCAGCCCGAGCTTGTGTATGTGGGTATGTGGAAGGGTAGGAGCAGTTCCTGCCTGTTCGGCAACTTCTCTGAAATGTTAACACTGTGTAAATCCTTTTCAAATAATAGGATTTGCTTGAATGTAAGAGCAGAATTTGGCCTACAATACTTTAATTCTCCTGACACTGTGCATAGACTGTACCACTTTAGCAGTCATGAATCATGTCTGTCTACAGATCACATGTGCATTATCACCATGGCGACTTAGGCACCTGAGGTAGAATTATGAGCTGGTAAGTCAAGGTTACTCTCGCTCACAGGCTTTCTCTCTCTCTCTCTCTCTCTCTCTCTCTCTCTCTCAGTGCAATGCAGGTGCTAATTAGTATTACATTTAGACATGGAGTTAGCTTCATCTTAAGCAAAATCTGCAATATTTTCATCTATTTAAACTAGCTCAAACATTTTACTCGCCACTGCAGATCATAGACTATAAATGGAGGGCATGCAATTTTCTTAATTTCATTTGGAGGAAATATCTGTGGCATAGGCAGGTAACTGCTACAAGTGTAAAATAAATAAAATAGAAAATGCTGAATATGTTTTTATGCCCTGAACTATAGAAATGCCATGGGTCAAAGAACCAGTCAGTCAGTTCCTTTGCCCTTAGTAGACGTCCTGGGACCATAAAACATGAAATGCAGAATTACCGTTTCCCTCGCAGAAGAATGAATACTTATATATCATGTGACAGAATGTTAGGTCTCATCCATATGTTTAAGCCAAAAGGCACATTAAAGTTTACTGTTTTATCTTCATGATATGACTTTCCTGTTTCCATTGGTGCAAATGACAAGAAAAACAAATAATGTTTTTCTTGTTTGTTAGCGTCATCTCCCCCTGTTGTCCACTGACCTAAAATGCAGCATTCTGAAAGATGAGAAAGGCAATGCATTTCCTCCCAGTTCTTTTGTAAGCTGACATGAAGTAGACAGACACCTTCTGAAGTTTTGTGCATGCTGTGCTCTCTCTCTCTCATTTTTCCTTTGCTGCAACAAGAAAAGCCTTTTCTTTTAACCTGGCTTCCTTTGAAGAAGTGACTCAGGCAGCTTCATGGCCTCTCAAGGTAAGTGCACGTATAGTCTGTATTTTTAGATCATGTTTACAGAAAACTACAGTCTTGTGAATTTCAGCAATCAGCAGTGTAATGAAATGAGAATTGCAGACTAAAATCACATCATCCAAACAAGGTGGTTTTGACTCTTTAATTTTTCAGCACGTGAAAGGCTCCTAAAGAGGATAAAATCTAAAATAGACTGTTATTTGGATAAAATACATTGCCAAATGTAACACTACACTCAATCTGAGATGTGTGTATTCATCTATCTGTGCTTGTATGTATCAGCGTAGTTAGCACAGAATGCATGAGAAGGGTATGTACTGATTCCAAGGTTAACATAATTTGTGCACACCTCTTCCATGTTCTACTTTGAAAATACTGTATCAGCAGACTGTTCTCATTTTCAGCACTGGACACAATCCTGTTACAATGTAGCAAAATAAATCACTGAAGATTAATTTAATTTAGTGAGATTAGCTATGTTTGAGCTCATTCTCGTCATGTCTTGTCTTTAGTTTGAGCCAGCTGGGATTTCAGAACTACAAGTGAACATTGCAGTCAGTTAATCTAAAAATCCTTCCAAGTCCGTTTTGCACATGCTACCAAATGATACAACTAAACAGAAAGCACCAGAATTTGGCTGTCCTTCATGTCCTTCCAACAGTCACCTTACAGAGTTTCATAGGTGTGCTGGGAGCAGAATTTGGCCCAGCTAAGAGTTGAAGCAGTTTGATATTTAGGTTTGCTATAGTGGTTCCCCATCTTTTTCCTAAAAATATAGGCAGCATGATGCCAAGTATGTTCTTGAACCCCAAGCAGATTTTTAAGGCACTGTTGTTTTATGTTTTGGGGTCATATTCTTCTCTTGGTGGGTAAGAACTTGTATACCTCTACAGAAGTTTTAGAGAAGAGCAGTAGTTAGCAGAAGCAGCATAGCCCTCAAGCACAGACTTTCCACAATAAAAGAGCATAGTAATATACTTCTAGATATAATCAGTATCTCTACAAATTATGATTATGTAGTGCACTCTGTTTATCATAAAGGCGTTTCAGGTTCAAATACCATAAGTCAAATAGAAAACATACATATAAATTGGGAAAGCCTCAAAGTATATTATGTGTTCATTAATATTTCCTATTTGATTTTTTGAAAACTTAAATTTAACTAGCAAACCTGAAGTCAATAATTTTTCTTATTATTCAAGATTAGTGCTAGTACATGGCCAATGAAGCTTCTTGGCATTTCATGTAACAAGAGTTACAGCAGTAACACTACCCTATGAGGTAAAATGATGCTGAAGAAGGTATAAAATATTTATGACAGGGTTATACATATTTTAAAAGCCAGATACAAATTCAAAGGGGTTATATCTTCTTCCTGTGGTCTCAAACTTTGAAAGAAAGCAGTAGCTGCAAAGATAAATTAAGATCAAAATATGATTAAACGATGAATCAGCGACACTATGTTCAAATACTGCTAAAGGATCTCATTTAAACCCACAAAGGCACATGAAAACTTCAGATTTAAAGCCAAAACTCTTTCTGGAACTAAAACCCAGTTGTACCTAAGCTTTATCATGCAAATGATAGAAAAAGATCTTTTGGGGGCCCTTTGCATTATCTAAATGCACAGATTTAGTTTAATCAAAAGGGTTAAATTATGTATAGACAATAGGCTTCATTGGGTACATTTATTTGTGCAACTAGAGCGGCTGAATAAACTCCAGTGCAGTTTGCACGAGAGTTTATTGCTCCTGGGCAGAGCATTTACATGTGCACCCAGAACTGCAGCACATAGAGCAAGGGCAGTGCAGTCCTGGCTAGCAAGAGGCCCAGGAGGTTAACTTGCCAGTGTCGAGCTGCTCTGCCCTAGTTCAACATGCTGGAGGGGTGGGGGCTGGCTGGGGCACAAAGGTGCTACAGTGCAAGGCTAGCCAGCAGGCAACTGCCACACTGTAGTACCCTTGTGCTCCAGCCAGCCCCTGTCACCATCTACACGTGCATTGCTATGCATTAAATAACTCTGCCATAGCATAGTACTTGTGTCAGGCAGTACTATTTTACAGCAGAGTTAGTTTACTCTGACCTAATAGTGACGTATGTGTAGACAGTGACACTTTACTGCAGAGCTAATTAGTCAGCTCTACAGTAATGTGCACCTATGGATGCCCCCATTGTGTTTTCAACTATACCAGTATAACTGATGTAAGTTTCCGGAGTTAATATATGTGCACTATTGGAAGGACCAGTATCAGAATCAGGCTTATAGAACAATTTTTTCACTGCTATTTCCATGACACCATAATGATTTTATTAGACACAAACCTGCAACCACTTACTATTGTAAGTAGTTTCAGTACCTTAAATAGAACTACTCAAGGTAATGAGCAAATAATGCCAAATAGTGTTTCCAGGAACAGGCTGAAAGAATACCCATTGATGAAGGCTGTTTCCCCTTAGTGTAACTTTATTTTTTCAGTGGAGTCACACTACTGAGGCTACAACTATTTTTTTAAAATCAGTATGGAGAATCATACATGGCAAAAGCAGTTTTAGAGCTGTGGTTCTCAATCTTCTTTGTACCAGGTCCCATTTGTAAACATCAGTGGTCAGTCCCAACCCAGTGCCCTTCACTCCCAATCCACTGACCCCTGCCCCAAGCCTACTGCTCACACGATTCCAGCTGAGGACTAACCAATGCAAAGAGCATTACTATCACTTGCCATTTTATATACAGTACTCCTGGTAAAGCAGCCCACAATTGCAATTGGTGGTTTTTCGGTTTTGTTTTGCAACTGTAACACAGAGTTCACTTGTATTCCTATCCTCCTTGGGAATGAACTTTTGTTATGTATCACAGTGTATGTATATATTATTGTTGAGCAGTTTAGGCCCATTTTTTCTAATGTCAATACTCTCCTGTTAAAAAAATTGCCCATCTCTCCCCCCGCCCCAACCTGTTATTTATTTATAAAGCATAATCCCTGTTTTAATGCCCCCGCCAGGGGTGAGGCAGGAGGTGGGCACATGGGGAGGGGGTGTGGGTGTGGAAGATGGGGTTGGGGCCAAGCAGCCCCTTGCATGCTGGAACTCCGCCAGCCTGCAAAGGAAAAGTCATGGTTTCCCATGTTTTTCTCCTTTAAAGGAGAATCCATTTTTAAAGTTTGTTGATCCATTTTTAAAGTCTGTTCATGACCCTTTCATATATTCTTGTAACCCATTTTGGGTTGTGATCCACTGGTTGAGAAGTGCTGATTTGAAGTACCTTATTATAGATAATTCATTTTCTTACTAAAATGTTATCTCAGATTATGTGATAATACACATTATGCACCAAGCAATATTAATGACATTACATGCCAAGTAGTGTCAATATATTAATTTGGAACTCTAGCTTATTTCCTTTAGGAAGATACTTGATGACAATTGGTTATCTTTGATGCAATCCTGTTTATTCACAAACAGAGTACAAAGTCCTGTTTTTTTTCTATTCCTGATCCTGATAGGAATCAAACATGGCACACTGTTCCAATCCTGCTTCCAGTCAGCCCTGAGCCCAAAAGTCATTTCTTAGCTTGTTCTCAAAACCACACAACAAGTGCTTCCCTAGCTGTCCCTGCTGCTTTTTTAATTTCTTCTCTGTGAGTTTCTGTGGTGTTTTTCCTGTTTTTATAGATACATGCTTGGCTCAAATTAACTCTCCAGTCTCCTGCATTTTGTATTCAACCCCTCTACCTATGTAGCTCAGATTCCAGACTGGCCTTCCATATGGCTTGGAGCTCTGCTAGCTTCAGTTCTCATATTCCACAGAATAGAGTGAAAGCTTCTGGTATTTATCCTGGCTGAAACCGGGCAATAGGTGTCTATGAGGCTGAACACAATAGTGTAATGCACACATATATACTCTTTTTCTCTCATTCTGTTCCCATGAACATAATTGTATGTGTATATTTTTCAAAACACTGCAAAGAGCCACCATTCCTGCAAGTGTCTCAGGTTTGGTATTCTCAGTGAAGGCAGTAACTAAATGAAACATATAGAGAATATATAGTCATCTAAGCATCATGTCATCATGTGCTAATCATCCAGCTTAATCCTGCATTAATGGGTTTTTTTCCTTTTCTGCAGATCCTCAAGGCCACCCGAACAAAATCATTCAGGATTATCTTCCTGGTTCTTCAGACCTTCCTGACCAAAATAAGTCTATTGTACCAACAAGTGCCTGGAAACAAGCATCACCCCCTCATGACTTGCCTCCTGGCCTGGAATACTTAAACCAGGTCCTGTCGTCTTTCCATAGATTTCTTCAATAGCTTATGCTTGTGGGGTTTTTTTAAAATAACTTCAAAATGAGTTTAGAATTGGAAGAAAGGCCTTCCCTATGTTAATGCTCTTCATTCATCCTCCAATAAGTGAACACAGCAGTTTTCGTTTCCCCCTCCCCTTCCACAGGTCATTATTTCTCTTTTTTTCCCCTTTATTTAGTAAAGGCCTGTTTCTATAGAAACCATTACCAAAACTCTTATTCGCCTCAGAGGGGTATAAAACAAGGCTATGTGAGGTGGGACTTTCATCTTCCATCCCATATGTACACATCTGGAATAAGTGTAGGACTGTAAAGGGAAAATAACTATCTGCTTCTTTCTTACCGCAGCAGACCCATTAAATGAATGCACAGTAATCTACTAATCTGTGGGAGTTGGGATATCAGAAAACAATACAAAAATATATTTGGCAAATAGGCAGAAAAATTAAAAAAACAACAATCAACTGCTATCTTATAAAATGAGTAAATGTTACTATCTCTTTTAGTTTTAGGTACCAGGATATCTCGTAGATTTCTATGGTTATATATCACATGCAAATTGTAGTATCCTATATTAAAGGCGTATAAATTGTTCATAATCTTCAAAAATATTTCCAGGAATGTATGTCTAGGGCATATCTGTGTACAGGACAGAACCTAAAGAAACATAGGCCTGGAAAGGACTCAAGGATCATCTGCTCCAACCCTAAACTAGTTCAGGATGTGCTATTCTTAAAGCACCCTAGCCATATGTTTATGTAGCCTCTTGAAAGCCTGTAGTGAAGGATATTCTACAGTTTTCCTGGGCAAATTCTGTAGACTGCCTCATTCTGTTGGAGTATGGTATAGTGTTCAGTTTTGGCCAAAGGGGTTTGTGGGCTTATTTTATTCTTTTACTGGATGATATAAGAAGGCTGCCCTACATGAACAACTGGTGCCTCATGAGACTGGGGGGGGGGGCACCATGGCGGTGAGCAGTGATCAGCTCCCCGATCACCACTCACAGCCGCCGGCGTTGGTGTTGGCAGCAGCAATCGGGGACTGCCTGCAGGCAGAGTTGTCAGCGGTGGGTGCCGGTCTTGTCAATAGTGGGAGGAGGGGTGGTGAGTGGCAACCACCCACAGAAGCTGGTGGCGGCTTTGGTGGTGGCCAATCTTAGGGGGGGCACATGCCCCACTGTGCCCCCTCTATGCATCACCTATGCTGCCCTGATACATGTTTTGATCAGGAGCATAACCTGAATGGAGACAGATGGGAGGCAGGGGATCTCTGCTGATGCCCAGGGCTCCAAAATCCTAGTTATGCCTCTCAGTCTAAAAGTAAGAAAGCTTTTTTGAGATGTAGTCTAAATCTACTTTGGTGCCATCTCTTTGCAGCAAGGAGGAACTGGTTCTCCATCTCATTTATGATAGAGAACACTGGTATCATTCCCTACTCCCTTAATCTCCCTCTCTTCAAACTAAATATACCTAGTTCTCTCAACCCTTCCTCATACAGCTTGTATTCCAACTCCTTTATCAGCTTTGTTGCTCACTTCTGGATTGTCTTCAGTTTTTCCATAATCTCTCTAAAATACAGAAGCTGGTACTGCTCACAAGATTCCAGCTAAGGACTAACCAATGCAAAGAGCATTACTATCATTTCCCATATTATATACAATACTTCTAGTAAAGCAGCCCACAATTGCAACTGGTGGTTTTTGGTTTTGTTTTGCAACTGTATCACAGAGTTCACTTGTATTCCTATCCTACTTGGGAATGAATTTTTGTTATGTATTACAGTATATTTATATATTATTATTGGTCAGTTTATGCCCATTTGTTCTCATGTCAATACTCTCCTGTTACAAAAATTGCTCATCTCTCCCCCTGCCCCACCCTGTTCTTCATTTATAAAATGTAATCCCTGTCTTAATCCCTGGTTTATTATCTTGACCATAGCACCGCACTAAAATGGCCATGTTGGGAGCTTCTTTCCTCACAAAGTGCAAAAATACAGAATGGGAGATAATTATCTAGCTCCAGCTGGCTATGAAGGCTCTGGGAGCTTCAGTGGATCACAGATGTCTGACTTGCATTTAAACTTGTAAAAATATGACCAGTAACTTTATAACCTCAGTTTATTTAGGCTACACCAATATAACTGGCATTCCTTTAAAAAGTGAAATAGTACATAATTAGTCTGCTATAAATAATTTTAACAGAACCTGAGGTCAAGAGGGCTATGTAGACACTTATAAACCTTAGAGCTTTAGATATTTTAAGATGAAATCTGAAAAATCTCCTTGATTCTTGCCTGTCCTGATAAATGATATATCAGGGCAGCTTTCTTACAGAATCTAATAAAAGAATAAAATAAGACCACAAAACACTATTATCCTTACCACTCTATCCAAGTGTTTATGCACTGTATGTAGCTAACTAATGCATATGCTTTTAATAGCCCAACCTCATTTTTTTTTATCTTGTGAAAAACTGCGTTAGGAGATGAACTCAGCATTTAACTATTGGGACACTCCTGCAATCTTCAGGATGGTTAGCAACCTATAAACTATTGCTTTTTATCACAGCAAAGCTCTATACTAAACTCGCTTAAGCTGAAAGAGTTTCTGTTATGTCTTAAGAAATTTAAACTGCAAGTAATGTGTGTGCTTGGGAAAATGTTTTTAAATACAAATGCCTTATTCAGAAATCACTTACTGGAGTGTGTGTTTCAGAGATAAGTGAAAGGGCTACAGAAGCTTCCTCACCAGCTTCTGTCTGGAAACTGGACCAGTCCCAAGAGGTGATTAGAAGTGATGAATGGCTGCAAACTGCTTGAATATTTATCAGGCAAAGTGTGCCAAAATAAAAGCAGTACACAAATGCCGAGCATGATAATTCCATAAGGTCATCAATTCTTTCTTCAGCCATGACAAATATTTGGTTATTGGAATTTAAGGAGAATAAAAGGAGGGAGGTCTTAATTTGCAACTTGGTCACCTACAGCTGTAATTGACACTGAAGTAACATTATATTGATATTAATCAAAGTATTATCTTCCCCCATCCCCTCCACCCACTCCTCTCCTCTCCTCCTTGGACACACACTTCCCAGAAGAGAATAAGGCTTGAGAGACCATAATAAACTACTGCAGCAGCTCTGAGGAGGGGAGTCAAAGACACAAGGCAAATATTCAGTGTTTTTCCTGGGGTTAAAGTCTATGTTCCACTTGTATGCTAAGGAATTATGTAATCAAGTTGACTGTATTAGGCCCCAATATAAATGCAGAAGTCAGCATTTTTTTTCTTTAGACTACAATCTTAAATGTAGTATGATAGTGTGATATGGTTATGCTGCCTCCTTGCTTTCAGCATGGCCTTGTATGTGCCAGCTGGGGACTCATTCATATTGGAGGAATTCTCATTAAGGGAGACAGGGCTGCAGTACATGCAGAACAGCAAGAAGGGGTTGGAATGAGGGAGAGAGTCGGGCTCTGTATCTTTCTATAAATTGCTGGTGGCCTTATTTTGCACCTGTGGAACTCACATGCTCATTGGTGTCAGGTACATGAATACAAAACATGAACATCACACTTTCTATCTCTATGGCCACTAGGGGTATGTGAAAAGCGCCCTATTCTATTCGGATTCAGCCCGAATCAGGGAGAGTGACTCAATTCATTGATTTGGATCACTATCCCTGATTCAATTTGGCTAAATCCGAATCTGAAAATTCAATGCTGATTCAGAGAATCAGAGATTCAGCTATAGACACAGCTTTCAATGTTTTTTCTACATATCTCAAGGTACCAGGCACAGCTTGTGAAGGCTGCAATGCTGGGGCAGATGGAGCATCCTACAGGAGCATGGTGGGGGCCCCCTGTGTGCTCGGCGGCAAACCTGGAAGTAGACCGGAAGTATTTCGCTGGGAGGTCCCCCTGCATCTCCCAGCTCGGCAATCAGCCGCAGGGGGACCCCAGGTGCCTCCCCACCCGACCAAGGAAACACCAGTCCCTGAGCTGGGGGGATATGGGGGGGGGCACCACCAGCGTGCTCTCTGATGGACCCCAAAGTGAACCGGAAGTGCTTCTGGTCCACTTCCGGGTCTGCTGCCGAGCGCGCTGGGGACCTCCCGTGCTTCTGTGGGACACTCCATGCACCCTAGCATCGCAGCATTCACAGGCCGCCTGGTACCTTGAGGTATGTAGAAAAAATATTTAAAGCTGTGTCTATGTCTAAATCATCAAATCTTTCTGAATCTCTCCAAATCTGATTCAATTCAGAGTGATTAAAGGGTCCTCTGATTCAGAGATTCGGCCACCAAATCTGGTCGAATCTCCGCCATATTGAACCAGGGACCAAAGCTTCGGACAGCCCTAATGGTCACCTTCTTCTTAAGTGAGTTTAATGCCTTTGTGAAATAGCAGGATTACTTAAGATTTTCCCAAATACCTCCAGTTTCTAGTGGGGCACTATGGTGATCAGTATAGCAGCCCCAAATCTCTTTAAAGTTGACTGGTTCTCATCAGGTTGTTTAATTTATTTTCACTTCTAACAGCTGGACCAGATAATCATTCACCAGCAGGTGGAGCTTCTTGAAGGTACAGTTTATTTGAGTTTAACTCTCACAATGCCAGCTTCCAGATACCTCTGAAACTGGAACATGAGTACAGGTCTGATCATATCCCACTGAATTCAAATTTTAACACTCTCATCAGCCCTCATAGGCAATAGATCAGGCCTCTGATGTACCAATAATTTGGTGAAAATTCATTTGGTTTATGATTGTTCTACAACAATAAAATTTCACTATAAATATCTACTCTAGCCATAAAAAATATCATCCTAAAGGAGTCAAATGGGACTTCTAACATGTATATAGTTACTCATGTTCATTAATATTTTTGGCACTGAGCAAATGTTATGCCTTTTAATTACAATTCTTATGTTGGCAAGAAAGCAGTCTTTGACCGGATAGGTTAAAGAAACAGATGAGCAGAAGTGATATGGTAATACATAATACTTCGTATTTACATACTGCTTTTCAAATTTTAAAGCAAGTGCAAGTGCAATGTCACGTTTCTTGTTTCATGGGGTTATTTTACATTGCAAATTGGCTTAGGGCCTGATCCTGACACATTGAAGTATATGGGAGTTTTGCCACTGAATTAGGGTAAAGTCATCACTAATTTGTTTCTATGAAAAGTAATGAGTCAAAACCAAACCTCTGGATATAAGCTCCAGATCTTCATCTGAAATTCCTAATCCATAGAATGAGGTGAAACTGAACTCTATGATCTGACAATTCCCACACTTGTTTCAAAATACAGATCAGAAATGCCCTAGTTGGGATGATCAGATTTAACTCATGACTGATTATTTTAGAATATTTACAGAATTGAGAATTGCATCTATTCAAAGGATTTTTCCTCCAAATGATCTCTGTTCTATTGAGCTTACAATATACATTGTAGAAAGGGATTAGAAGTGTGAATTTGGATCCAACCCTGGGTTTGATGCTTTTGGCTTAAATATATTTTACTAAGGTAACTTGCAATCTGTTTTGCTTTATTAGCCCTTCTTGGCACAGAGACATCCAGCAAGTATGAGATAAAGAACCATTTGGGAGAAAGACTTTACTATGCAGTGGAGGAAAATGGTTGCTTTGATCGCAACTTTTGTTCTCCTTTACGGTCTTTCACTATAAGGATTGCTGATAATGCTGGCCAAGAGGTGATTACTGTGAACAGACCCTTGAGATGTAACAGCTGCTTGTTCCCTTGCTTCCTGCAAGAGGTTAGTGAATGATAATAGCACCTTTCATCTAAGTGTCTCAAATTGTTTTACTAAGATTAATTAAACCTCACAAGAACTCCTATGAGGTAAGCATTATTATACCCATTTCACAGATATGTAAGATGTACAGAGGGAATTAAGTGCTCTGCTCAGTTTTATGTGGCAAAACAATTTTAGAAATGAAAAATGGAGAGTAATATGCTTTACAGATAACTGGACCATATATATCCTGCTTCTTTTTAAAAATGATCATTCCCTTAAAATGATTTCAGGAGTTTTCTAAAATTGGTAAAAGGTAACTGGTGAGGAAAATAATTCCTTAATGAAATACGACACTGTGAATACCAGGTAGCTAATGGCTAGATAGGAAGGTGTGACTTTGGGCTGCATTCAGATTGTGGAGATGAATTAACCATTTGCATATATGTTTTTGGCACACAATAGAGATAACCTGAATGATACAGTTAGAGAACTGGTACTCAACACTGATCATATATGCCCCAGTTCTGCTATGAGAAACATGCTAATGCCAGTTCTCAGGGGATGACTTGGATGTAATGTGTATAATGACTTGAGGAGAAGGCAGCATAGATTTACTTTTTATAGATTAACTAAACCAGAAAGCACAAGCTTTTGTAAGCATCAGCTTACTTCCCCAGATGCTGAGAAGGGACTGCAGGAAGCAGAGCTTCTAAACACAAAGCAGTGATTCAAATACAAGCAGTATTAGAGGAGCAGGGCCATCCTGTGCATGAAGAATCTGTATTTTGGTAGTTTGTTTCATTTTCCCTTTTTCAGTTTAAAGCAGCACAGCCATGTAAATTCATTCCAAGCCTCAGAATGAAAATATCGTGCTGTCTTTAAAATTCCACACTTCTCATATTTATTAAACATCTTAGGTAAAATCCCAGCTCTATTATTAGGAAATGGCAAAATTTGCTGATAAAACAATCAGAATATCATTGCATTGGCTGGCAGACTGCTTGCTCTTTGCTATGTTGTAAATACAAATGCAGCGATATCATGTATACTATATAAACCCAGATAATCCATTGATCCAGGCACCCAGGTAGATTGAAGGCAAATGGGTGGGTTTAAAATTGTAGGACATGTGTAGATGAAACAAGGGGCACAACACCTTAAAGTGGGTTAAATGCCTTTGCACCGTTTTAATTGTGTTGTTGTTTGCACACATCAGTGGCGTATTGTACAGTAATTCCAACCGCTGTAGCAAATTTGGTGGTATAATGTGCCTTAAATGAGTTGGGGCACAGCAAACTCTTCTGTGGAGTTTCAGTTTGCTTCCTTACAGCCGCAGAGCAAAGCACCAGGCTCCATGCAGCTCAGGGGCTCTTCAGGAAGCCCATGCAGGCAGCCTAGGAAAACAGACTCCACCCAAGAAAAGCAGCAAACCTGATCTTTTAATTTTTTTCCCCCTGGAGCCTGCCTGCCTGCCTGAGCTGTGTGGGGGCCCAGTGCTTCCCTCTGTGGCTGCAGTGCCCCCCAGGACCACCCAAGCCGGGTGCCTGTGGGTGGGTGCTGCCTGTGGGGGTGGGTGCTGCCTGTGGGGGGGGCTAGAGAGGCAGGTAAATTTGGGTGTGTGCATGACATGGGGATTTAAAGTGCCCTAAATTGAAGCGGTGTTTTTAAAAACCCACTGCTTCAATTTAGGGTCCCCATTTTGTCTACACACACCCATAGGCTACTACTATATTAAGTTGATCTACCAAGCATTTTTAAAGTTGGTTCAGTGAGAAGAGTCCAAGATGCCCACTAAGCATCCCTCTAATTCAGGGGTGGGAAAAATGCAGCCTGGGAGCTGGATGTGGCCTGCCAGATCATTCTATCTGGCCCGCAGGGTCTCTAAAAAATTTAGAAAATTAATATTTATCTGCCCTGGGCTGCCTGTCATGCGGCCCTCGATGGCTTGCCAAAACTCAGTAAGTGACCCTGAGCCCAAAATAATTGCCCGCCCCTGCTCTAATTCCATGTAGCCTACCCCTAGGCTCAGGCTTGAAATTCTCTCAACCTCCCCACTGTTGGGGGGAAGGGGTGTTGTACACACAGGGTGTAAAGTGTGAATTAAAAACAAGCGGGAATCTTAGGGGATAAGACACAATGCCGCATTTATTGAAAACATAAGACAAACAAAATAGAAGAAAGAACAACAGAAGATGGTGTTTCCTATTTCATACACTCACACATACATACCCATTTATTCATATACATGCAAAAGGAGATAGACAGACAGTCCTGAACATATCAAGAAATTACCAGTCCTTAAGATGCCAGCCAAGTTAACCATGAGGTTAAAGCCAGGTCTTTGTCGAATGCTGCTTCTTCTTCTTCTTTGCAGGACAGACCCAAAGCCCCTTTCTTCTTGTCCATCTTTATAGTGATTGTTCCCCATACAAGTCTATGGGTCTTACTGTGTCATGTCCCCTTGATGACGAAATGATCCTCCTTCTCAGTTACGAAGTTTTGATTGATGGACAGCAGGTCAGGCCCTATGGGTAGCAGGTCAGGCCCTATAAAGAGAAGCTAAAGGGCCTAAATCTATTTAGCCTCCACAAGAGAAAGCTGAGAGGGGACCTGGTGGCCGTTTATAAACTTACCAGGAGGGACCAGCAGGAATTGGGTGAGGCTCTGTTGCCCCAGGCACCACTAGGGTGTTACTAGAAATAATAGCCACAAATTGTTAGAGAGAAGGTTTGAGACTGGACATCAGGAGGCATCACTTTATGGTTAGGGCTGCCAGGCTCTAGAATGGACTCCCAAGGGAGGTGGTGCTCTCTCCTACTTTGGGGGTCTTCAAGAGGATGCTGGACAGATATTTGGCTGGAGTGTTATGACCCTGCACTTGTTCCTGCTCAGGGCAGGGGGTTGAACCTGATGATCTGTGTAGGTCCCTTCCGACCATAAGTACTATGAAACTATGACAGACTCTTCAGCTTTGTGGTCTGCAATTTCTTGCATTTGCTGTCAGCAATTTCTTCAGCCACTAAAACAAAACCTGATCTTGTATTTTGCAATCCTTAACTGCTGATCTTTGGACAGTGCTGTAACCTTTGACTGTTAAATCACAGAAGGCTATTTCTATCCTTCTAATCTGAGGTGCAAGACAATCTGTCTCAACATATGCATTTCCACACATACTGTTTATAATTTCATTACCTCTTTTCAAACTTCCCAGGCATACCACAGGCCTTTTATACACACTACTTCTTTTATACTATATTTAACCTACAAAATCACAAAACAAAATGACTGTTACACTTATGCTAAGCAATGTAAAAATCAAAATAGAGTCTCAACTAAGGCTAAATTACACAGTTATTTGAGCAAACTAAAATGGATATTGGTTATAAAATAATTAACAAAACTATAAAGGATATTATAAAGGAAATATCAAGAGTATATAAAGACAAATTAACTTGAGCCCAACAGGGGAAGGGCTGGGGGGAGAAAATACCCCAGCAACACAATGTCCATAAGCAGAATTCTACCAGGAGCAAGCTGGCCCTTTGGCCTTCGAGCTGCACTGGATACTGGACAACACCACCGATTACCTTTGTTTCACTTCTCCTGCAACTGAAAAACTCAGCAACTGAGAGCAGGGGACTTGAAGCTCCTGGACAACTGTTTAAATTATTTGCAGAGAGAAAGGAACGATGAGCCAATCAGCTCTTCTCTTCCCCCCAAGGGGAGGGATATTTCCTGTGTTCCACTTTCTCCATCTCTTTCTGGGGACTCTGCTTGGCTTAATGGCCACCAACTCTCCACTCTAACAAGATGGGTGGAAGGTATTCTATAGGACTAATTGCACTTATTTTTGCTTTACCTGCCACAGACAAATGGTAACTTTACAAGTGTAAATTCCACACTGTGACAGCAATGTATGTGAAAGATGGGACTATTACTGGAAGGCCTTCATTAGTGTGTGTCAGTATGACTTAGATGGTAGCACTCTTGACTGCCTCAGGAAGTTCAAGTACCACTCCAGGATTGTGTGGATGTGGTAAGTATATAGTACTAGGAGGCTGCTGCACTGTTACAAATGCACAGCTCCTTTCTCCCTCTCAGTTCCCCACGTATATTTGTAAAGCAGTCTGGAATGCCTTTACTGTGAAAGGTAAACATTCTGTTTCTGCATGCTGACTTCACTTAATGCAAGTGCATTATATAGTCACCTATGTACTTTGTCACTGAAATATTTTGATAAGCACTAAAGACCTACAGGCAGGAAAATCAACATCTCTGTATAAACAGACGTGATTACTATAAATACAGTTGCTTCTGCACAGTATATGGCTTTTCTTGGAGATTATGCCATAGCTATTAAGTTAATATTGTTTCCAAAGTATTTTAAACTATTATTAGGCAGCCTCAAAACCAAGGCTAGGATTCTAAATTGTATATTACAACCTAATGGCAATTCATCTTGTGAACTAACAATTGATGGTGCTGTATGATACTTCTGTCTAACAGCTAGAAGTTCAGTCCCCTCCTGGTACAATAGCAGGCTATGTTGTCCAGAACTGGGACCCTCTTCTGCCTAAATTCACGATAAAGAATGAAAGCAAAGAAGATGTATTGAAAATAATTGGTCCATATGCAACGTGTGGCTGTCTTGGAGATGTCGACTTTGAGGTAAGTTTCAGACTTTTGAGATTTTTTTTGTTTTGTTTTAAATTATGAGTAAATGTGTTAGTCAAAAATCTTGTGGAATTTCTAAAAATATTTATAAACTATTATAATGTGGAAACAAGATGTCAACAAGTCAGAATTTATAGTTCCTGGACTTGAATCCCAAGCTGGAAGTTGATTTCATAACATGTATTTCCTGGATAGGAATAACAACTGAAATAAAGGAAAAAACATTCTTGTGGAAGAAAGTCTGGCCTCACAGAAATCAATGAGAGCCCTGTCATTGACTTTGATAAGGTCAGGGTTTCATCTCATGTGCAGTCCTTAACATCTGATCCATTCACTTTATTGTGCTCGGAATCAGGTCCAAGAATAGTATTGCAAGCGACCATATCTATATTCTCTTTAACATAAGAAAAAGTAATTCTGAGAAGTAGTAGATGTAATATACAAAGGGCAAGTGTACACGTGCATTCATGTGCCATAACTACTACGCATTAAGTTTAGTACCTGTAATAACAGGTACATTACTTAATGCGCAATAATTGGCGCTACTACTCAGTAGTGCTAGCATGTGTCTTTTAAGTGACGCTTATGCACAGTAGACTAATTCTACTGTGTATTAGCATGGCTTTCACCATGATGTGCTAATGCACAGTAGAATTAGTCTACTGTGCTTTTACCATCTTGTATAGACATGCACCGTGTATATAAAACTATATACAATATGAATAAGGCAATAGAATTTGCTAGGATGATCAAAATACCATGGATTTTTTCCCGTCTATTCATTTGGTCCAGATTAAGGGACCCCACATAGCTTCTAAATTGGTCACATCCTATAGGGCCAGACCGAGAAACTTCAGAGGGATGTTACCTACAAACCTAGGTGTAAGTTATCAAATAAATGTCAGAAGCAAACAACCTGTGACACATTTGCCAGAAACAAAAGAAGGAATTCATTGTCCACAGAGATGATGCTTCTGCTGATGGGAGCTATTCAGAATTCTTTGGTCAAAGAACAAATCATTATGATAGAACAGGGGGAAAAATATTCCTATCCCCTGGTTTCCTCTAGTGTTACTGATATTTATAGATTTTTTAAGAGTGGATGTGGATGAAAACAAATATAACACCACAGAGTATATAAACAATAGGAGAAACCTGAGGGTATTGGTGAGAAGCCCCTAGTGTTAGAAGAAGCTGTAGATGGAAGGGAACCTACCACATCACAGCAAGTATCTTTGCTGGTAAGAGGCAGAGGTGACCAACTTGTGACCTTACTGTAGTTGTAGGTCTTTGTTATGGTATGGTGCTGCCCAAATATATGTGCTCCCTGCCAAGTGTAAGTTAAATTCCATTGATTTTACTCTGTTATTGAATGCCAAGTTGATAAAAATGTGCACATCTAACAGAGAAGTGTTGGGAAAGCAGAAAAGGTGTGGGTGGGGCAGCGATGGCAGGGAGGGAATCCAGTTCTCTTTGTAACCAAAAGGAAAGACATGCCTGTGCTATCAAATTTGAGTTCAGACCCAACAGTTGTGAACTTTGATGTATGCTGTTTTGTTATGGGCTCCTATCAACTGCATGCGGACCTTCACAATCTGTCAACCTGCTGAAACTTTGGAGACTAGTTTTGCACCCGTTGAACTCACTGGGGATTCTGTCACTGAATACCAAGTGGAGCACCATCAACCTGATTGTTACTGGTTGCAGAGACAGCAGATTTGTAAGGGAACCTAACATATGTCTGCACAACAGGCCTAATTAATCCAGATAGAGCACTGTGTTAATATAGCTCTACATTGGTTTCCTTTCCCCAGCACTCTCAGGCACTGCATTGTGCTGTGTAGACATACCCATAGGAGAAGGAAAGGGTCTTGGTACTGTAACAATCACAAAGATGTAAATAGACAGTTTCTAGGATTAAAAACTGCATTGTAGTTTGCACAAATGAAGGGAGGAACCCTTGACCAACTCCTTTTTCTCTTCTGGGCCCACATGATATGTGGTAACAGCTTTGACTGTTTAGCCTGCTTTTTATGATCATAAACTTAATGTTTCTGGATTATCTTTAAAAATATTGTTCTGAAAACGATGACCTTTGCTACAGCTTCGAATTTCATAGGCAAGAAGTGTCAAGCAAGGTGGCTTTATTATTATTATTTTGTGGTAGCAACTAATGGGTCCTACTCCATCTGTGGCACTTGAAATATAGGGTGTGTATAGCTATTTGCTGCACCTTAAGTACAGTTACAGGACTTTAAAGCTCCCTAAACACAGATGGGGAGTGGTGTGTACAGCCCCTTGCCACTTCTGGGAGCTGTGTAGGGAACGGGATGTAAGTAAATCAGGGTAGGGAGAAGAGTGAGCAGGATTGGGGCCGAGGGGGCAGCAGTTCTGTCAGGGGTAATTAGTGAGTCGAGGAGAAGGGGTTGGTGGGATGGGAGGTGCGTGCGGGGAGCTGGTGGGTCTATGAAGATGGGAGCCGCCTAACAGGGAGGAGGCAAGGCTAAAAATAGCCCAGTCAGGCTGGAGTGAGGTGGGAATAGCACAGCCCTAGGCAACTAGGGCTAGTTGCCCTAGGCAGCCACTGGGCAAGTGGCTGGGCTTTCCCAGACCTAGTGCTGTACTGCAAATGTGGACAGGAATTTGGGAGATCAGGTTATTCATTTCCTAGACTGGGTTAACCCTATCTTCATCTATCCTCGTGCAGCTCCTGAAGTGAACTAACTTAGATCATGTGTGCCGTTTTTCAACCAATTTAAGCTCTCTGAATGCCTTCACGATTGGGCATTTAACTCTGGTTAGGTTGAGCTAAACTTAACTCCTGTATGTACCCATAGACAATGGCAGTCCCTGTCCCAGAGAGCTTACTGTCTAAAAAGCAAGATGTATCAGATAGGTGAGACAAACAAATGAGGGTGGAAGAAATGGAGTAACAAAAATAATAACATGATTTGTTCCACATTCACGAACAAACAAGCAGCTTCCTGTTATTTCACAGAGGAAACTACGGCCCCTGGCACATTACATTTAAGACATGATTAACCAGTTAATCGTGTCTTACGTAGTTATCTGGCCACACGTTAATGCAATTAATGGTGTGTTAAAACAAGGAATAAGCCGCAAAGTTAACACAGAGAGTACCAAGTTGTTCAAAATGGTATTACAGACAAATTGGGGCTTTTTAAAAAGATTTCTCAAGTAGGACTTTAGTGATGTTTGGCTTTGTGTTGACTGTGCCTGGGAATTAATTTAATTCCCTTCTCTGGGCCCAATCTTCAGCTTGTATAAACTGGAAAAGCACCATTAAAATCAAGGGTACTATGCTGATGGAGAACAGCTGAGGATGTGACCGACTAAGAAAAGAATCACCACTAGTTTGGAACTGATTATGACCAATTCAGGGCATTGGTGGTATGTTGAATTGGTTAATGTTTGGGTGGCTTTTTTAAACCTTTATTTTCATGTGTGTAGGTAAAAGCTCTTAATGAAATATCTCCAATTGGCAAGATTTCCAAGTACTGGTCTGGATTTGTAAATGATGTCTTTACCAACACTGCCAACTTTGGGATCCAGATGCCAGTAGATCTTGATGTGAAAATCAAGGCTGTAATGATTGGAGCTTGTTTCCTTATAGTAAGTACAGAACGTCAAAGGGTTAAGCCCCAGCAAGCTGAGTGAACTGGGATCAAAATAACCATCATCTGTGGCAAAGCCCTAATCCTGCAACAGGGCTATGTCATTGGGCCTTGATGTACTTGCAGATGATACAGGATACAGAGCCAGTCTCAGACAATCAGTGTTTCAATGATAATTATCATCTGGTAGGCTTTTAGCCTTTATGGCTTTTGCTTTTATATTTTACTGATACTGAATACTTTTATAGTTACTTCATATTTGCCTTTCAGTTGAAATATTGTCATATGTTGCCTTATCTCAAGAATGTGATCACATACTGAGATACCTGACAGAAACCCAGATAATTTCAGGCAGCTGAATTAACTGGTGAATTTAAACTTGTCTGTGACTCAAGAGAAAAGAGTATTACATTCACTATTTATCAGTGTTTCAAAATTGTGAGCCCAATTCTCTCCTGCAGGTTACAAGCAACTGCCTCTGACCTCACTAGAGAGTTATTTGTATCCTGCAGAGGGAGAATACAGTCCCTGAAAGGTAAATACTTTGCTCTATCTATAGCTAGTCAGCACTACCTATAACTGATAAATGGTTAATAGTAATTTCCCTGGCCCATATGATTCTTCCTCTACAAATTCCATTGTAAAGTTAACCAATTATGTTAGCATATACAGAGAGAATTAAAACAACAAACATCATAGGCAAAGAGGGTTATCCTTAAGTTTGAAGTGCACATTTATAACAAATCAACGTTTGTCTTGTTTGATTTTATCTCCCTAGCCATTATATCTCGTGTCCTATGCAAATTGGTAAAGCTAAGATGGCCGCAGCATGATTTAAAAAAGATGCTAGGAAGATCAGCTTGGAGAAACTAATATAACAGACAAAGCTAGTTTGACTCTCTACTTCTGTTAAAAAGTTTGCTCAAAAAAGTTATTCAGATTTTTATTCTCACTCTTGGCTGCAGTAAAGATAGAAATGGAATCTGCATGACACTTAAGAATTTTAGATTGTCTTCTATATAACTCATTTCTCTGTGGCAGTGGTAGAAGCCTGTTGACCAAGCTAATTGATTTATGCAATAAAGTCTGTAAGTCTGCCTTTTGATATGAATTGTTCCCTTTTTTGTGTCTTCCTCACCATTCACAGTTTATTTATTTGTAGGACTTAATGTTCTTTGAGCATTCATTGGATGAACTGTAACAAGGAAGATGATAGAAACAGTAAAATATGCAGCATGTGTTTCAGTAAGTCAGAAAGAACATAAATTGATCTTCTTTCTTTGAAGACATGCATTAGATACTTTCTAATTCTTTTTCATTTTCTTCCAGAAATCCCTTGAGCTTTGGACATTATTTCTGACCTACACAAACCTGTGCTTTTTATAGCAAAAAAAGTTAATGATTTTGTTTATTAAAATGTATCTTATGTAAATAATAACTTTGCCATTTCAATTTCATGTGTGTTGTAGACAAGAATACAGATGCAGAAATGTTGCTTTGGAATGATGCTATTCTCTTTTGAAGTTCTTGCATGGGAAAGCATGAAAGGTTGTAACTAAGGCTTGTAGCATCACTGATGAAATTCTATGTTTAGAGAACCCTTTGAAGTTGGCAAGTCCTGGTACCAGCTATTAACCAAATGTGGGTGTTTTTTTCATTATTTCACATGATGGTTTCTGATTTGCTATTTAATTAATAGTAACAAATGCAGTATCATAGTAACAAATGCAGACAAATTGTCCAGCAGGGTATTTGATGATAAGTGTATTTTTATACGGGGACATTCAGGTACAAAGAAGCTACTTGTTTAGGTTTAAGAGATACTTGACAGCTAATGTTTGTAAGTGATGTGATTTTTTCAGAAATGGTAGCCTTAAATTAGGCTCCTAAGCCATGCTTAAACACATACAAACTAGTGGTGTAGATATATTCTTGAATTTCTTGGCCAACTATGCACACATGCACACATACACATGCATGTGCACACACAGTCATAAAATATTTAATATGCACAATACTGTTAAGTGTCCAAGAAGTTAATTTGCACCCTGTAATAGTGAAAAAATCCTTTGCTTTAATCCAGATTATATATACTGTGCATATATATATACTGCTAATTTATTAAACAAGTCAGCTCTTTTCTGAAGTCAACATAAAATAAATACATGCTTCTGGGCTAGCCTTTTGTACTTTTCCCTCTGGGACTAGGTAGACTCATGTATTTTCTTTGAGAGAATTCTGCAGTGGAAACTTTCTATTGGAAAGTATTGAATATCATATTTGTGTATTAAAAGATAACCTTACTGTTAGAGCTGCTCATATCCTGCTAAGATTGGTTACAGACATTTGCTCAGAATTTGAATTGCTCCTTATTTTTAGACAGAAGGTGGGGTAGATAGGCACCTTATGACTAACTGGCTGAATCTACACAAGATGCTAATACTCAGTTGTTGGTCTGGGTTCATTTAATATTTGTATAAACAAGTACTAAATGAATATGCAGTAACTGGAGTTACTCCACAGTTGCTCCAACAAATGCCTTTTTAGTGATGGTATTGTGCAGTTGCCTAATACTTCTGTGCAGTAGCATCATATCATGATTTTTTCCACCCAATACTACCGCACAGTAGTTTCGAGCTACTGTGCATCAGTGTCTCATATAGACGTGGCCACTAAGGTGCATTCCTACTCCGCTCTCTGCCTGACTTTAGGCTAACACAGCTAACTCTCTCTCTTTATTTTTTCCCTGATCATGCAGATGGTTTGCTGTTCGTAGACATTCACACATGCAGGCTTTTTTACTTATACAAATATGTATGGGAATGACTGGCTTTTGTAGAAATAGTCATCTTTGAACAAGATTTGTGTACAAAAAATATTCACAAAGAACATCAGTTACTTGTTATACATTAATATCCCACTTAAAACTGTGATCCAACTAGGCAATAGAACCAATACCCTGCAATACAGGTGACAAAATGTGTGCGCGCACAAGGAGTCTAAGTGAACAGTTTTTAAACCATCCATATACTGAGATTTTGTTTGCATAAACTAGTCAGTGAATACTTGCAAATAACCAGCACTTCAGCAGAAATGAAATGTGAATAATTCATGAACAAGAAAAAGCTAAATTGATCAGATGCTTTATTCTCAACAAATATTTAGACTAGTTTCAAATTAATGTCACAGAGAGGAACTTAAGCACTGAGAAGCTAGGAGGTTGATGCTTTCACAGTGAAATTAACTCAGCCATATTGTTTTTAGCTCACATCTGGTCTAAAATATACTATTTATGTACTTGCATATTTTATATATGGTACATTTGCATAAATGTTCTTTGAACCTGAGCTACTGAACTTGTGGAGTTTCAGTTCCACTGAGTTTGCCACAACTGGATTTTGCATTATTAGCAGCACAACAAGGATGGAGTTTATAGAAGTTTTAAACCCTGCAGGAGACACTTCTTATTTCACATTCCTCCAAAGAAAGGTTCCCATCTGCAGGAGCTGTAAGCTCCGTAGTACAGAAGCTCCCTCCTGTGGAAGTCGGTAAGCTTTTCAGGAAAATAAAGGTTTCTGTACACAAGTTTGAATTACTCTTCTCGATACTCCTCTGCTTGTGAAATACCACTACATTTAGTCCTGCAAGTCCAAATTTGTGGTGGTGTGGGTGGAGAATCAGGTCTAGAATCTCTTTTTTTCTCCTTGAAATCTTCCTGTGTAGAAAGTTTTCTACCTAGATAATATGTTGCCCGTGAACAACATGTGCAGAGGTTGGGGGAGGCACAGTGACTGCCCACAGGTGGCAGCAACGGTGTTGGCAGTGGGGGCATGGTGGTGGCGAGTGGGGAGCTCCCACAGGCAGCTGTAACAGTGTTGGCGGTGAGGGGGGGCTGCTGAGTGCCAACTGGTGGTCAGTGATCACCTGCAGATGCCACCGGTAGTGTTGGAAGTGGCCAGCAGTCAGCGGAGACTGCCTGCAGATGCCATGGGCAGTGTTGGCAGTGAGGGGAAGGGTATCAAGTGGCAACCACTCACAGGCACTGCCAGCAGCATCAGTAGCACTTTTCACAGGGGGTGCACCGCCAATCTCAGGGGGTGCACGTGCAGCTGCGTGCACCCCCTACATTGCCAGTGATGTTGACTATGAAATCTCATGCCATCCTGCCCCACCTTCTGCCTCTCAGTGTAGTAACATTGAGTCTGCTTCAACCACCGTGAGCATCACTATCTACAGGGCCATATTCCAGATCCTGCAATGGCATCTGCTTGGGCATACCTCTTGTACCTTTGCAGGGGCTCACTTAAGTGAGTGGCCCCAGAAATTAACATGATTCTTTATCCCATTTCCTTCACAATGTACAGGTTAATGAAAGGTCTGAAGCAAATGGATCCAACCCCCATTGACACCATAGAATCATAGAAGTAGTGTCGGAAGGGACCTTCTAGATCTTCAAGTACGACCTTCTATCTGGGCAGGAGAAAAAACTGGGCTCAAATGATCCCAGCTAGGTAGGCATCAAGCCTCCTCTTAAAAACCCCCAGGGTAGGAGCCAGCACCACTTCCCTTGGAAGTTGGTTCCAGATCCTAGCCGCCCTGACTGTGAAGTAGTTCTTATGGATGTCTAATCTAAAACTACTCTCCAACAACTTGTGGCTATTATTCCTTGTTATGCCAGGGGGCGCTAGAGAAACAAGGTCTCTCCCAAACCGTTCTGGTCCCCCCTAGTGAGTTTATAGACGGTCCCCAGGTCCCCCCTCAGCCTTCTTTTGTGAAGGCTAAACAGGTTCAGGTCCCGCAGTCTCTCACTGCAGGGTCTGAACTGTTGTCCCCAGATCATGCGGGTGGCCCTCCTCTGGACCCTCCCAATGTTGTCCACATCCCTCCTGAAGTGGGGTGCACAGAACTGGACGCAGTACTCCAGCTGTGGCCCGACCAGTGTTGCATAGAGGGGGAGGATCACCTCCTTGGCCTTGCTAGAGATGCACCTGTGGATGCACGACAAGGTCCGGTTAGCCCTGCCAACCGTGGCCTCGCATTGTCGGCCCA